ATGTACATTAAATGATTTAAAATATGATCCTGTTCATTACTTGTGGAGGTTAAAGATATTCCTGCTGTAGTTTTATTTAATAACTTAGATAATGGGTTAAGAGCAAGACAGAACCACAACGGGCTAAGTGCATCTCCTTGGAAGATGCCCCGTTGTATTTTTATTGGGCTGGTGTCTATTGTTTCACTTGGAGTGGTGAGTCTGAGTACAGTAGTCCAGGTAGTCATTACAGTTTTAAGGAAGGTGATTACAGATGGGTGTATTTTATATAATTCTAAAACTTGAACGAGCCATGAATGGGGAACTGAATCATAAGCTTTTTTGTAGTCAATATACATGGTAAATAAATCGGATTTGGTTTTTTGTGCATTTTTTAAAACAACTGAGTCTATTATTAATTGTTCCTTGCAGCCTTGACTAAACCTTCGACATCCTTTCTGTTGCTCGGCTAAGATGTTGTTGGCGTCGATATGCTGGTAAATAAGTTCAGAAATACAAGATGTGATGATTTTATACAAAGTCTGCAAGCAAGTAATTGGCCTATATTTGGCTGGGTTAGACAGGTCATTATTGTCTTTGGGTATCATGAAAGTGGTGCCGGATGATAAGTAAAGAGGAATTAACTTGGGGTTTTTTATAAACATACTAGCTTCTGCCCGCGACTTCGTACGCGTAATCCTATTTTTTTCCCGTCCCCGTTCGTGACTTTCGGTAAAAAGTAAAAAAAAAAAATTGGTCAAAAAGTATCCTATGTCGGTCTCCTGGCTCTAAGCTACCTTCCTACCAATTTTCACCCAAATCTATTCTGCCGTTGCTGAGTTATAAGTGGTGTAACTAACACGACTTTCTTTTATATATATAGATTAATGAAATTATATAGATGACAATGTATTGCTGTAAATTTTTTGTACCAGTAACTATGGATGTGGTCGGACCCAGGAGCTTTCCAGTTATGTAACCTGGAGAGAACTTTGTGGAATATTTCTGCAGAAACATGCTCAAATGTCATGGGCTGTATATTGTTAGACAAGTCTGATTGTACCCATTCTGCATTGGAGTTATGGCAAATAGGGTTTTCCCATATACTTGCCCAAAAGTGTTGCACTGTATCTGGATCTAGTGTATTATTTGCACTGTCTTGTAAGGTATTGCTTTGATTATTATTTGTGGTCGCCTGTCTGATGTTGCGATAGAAGAGCTTCTCATTATAATTAAATTGGATGTTTTGTTGTTTTCTAAGAGTGCAAGCTTTGTACCTTTCAAGTCGTCCTTTTACGACGGAGAGTTTTTGTTTCAATGTGTCAAGGGTGTGTATAGGTTGTGTGTTAGGTTCTTCATGTACGGTGTGTATTCTGTGATGTCTTATGATTTTGTTTGCTTGTTTCCTTAATTTCCTACTACTATTACCATTTATAAATTGTGTTAATCTGCCTATTTTTGTTCGTAAGTCTTTTAATTTTCGTTCTAATCTACGTTGCCATTTCGGCTTGTATTCTGTTTTCGGGACCAGAGGTGTTTCTCGCGGTGTCAGTGTTATCCTAGATCCGTTTACTTTAGCAGCAGTCCAAGCGGCACAATATATGACTGTTTGCAATGTATTGAAGTCAGTGTCTTTATTGACGTTTTCTGGGAGAATGATTTGGTTCAAGTAGGTAATTACTCTTGCTAGGTTTTTAGATGGCTTCTGTTTTGGGATATAACTTCTGTTGGTGGGGCTGGTGTTTTTAAAGTGTTCAAGAGCTTGTTGGAAAGTTTCGTCAATCAAAGCATCTCTTTCAGAGACAATTTGATCGTTATGTACGACATCTTCCGAAGTGTCATTATCAGTGTTGTCTGATGTTTGTGTATTAAGTATAGATTCGTTTGTAGAATAAATTTCAGTATCATTTGGTAACCGTGTATTTGGACTGTTTATATTAACGCTATATGTGACTCTATCTGTATTATCATACAAATTAGTATTGGGTAAAAGAAGTTCTTCAGCTACCTGTGCTTTTAATGCATTTAATTTAGCATCACTGATGTATTGTTATTAATTATTGCTCTCTTCTGATCAGCTATTCTTTGTTCGCTTAGGTGGGCTAGTGAAGGGTAATTACTAATGAAATCATCGTACATACGTTTTCTGTACATTGTTTCATTTCTGCCTAAATCTGTGACTCTGTAGTAAGACCGTATTATGCCTTCGTTCTGTTCATTCGTCCACCTCATTCGTGTTTGAGTTTTATTTTGTGTGTCTTGTGTTTCTGTAAATCTAGGGTGTGTATGTAATTGCGGGCGTGTGCGCTGTGTATGATCTGTAATATTTTCTGAGTGTATGTTAATGTGATTTAGTTGTAGTTGCCCAAGCTCCCTCTCTACTTCGTTTCGTATGGTATCTATTGTTTTTTGTGGTAGAAGTCTGTTATTTATGATTGCTCTACGTTGATCTCCTACTCTTTGTCGGCTAACCTGCATATCTGGGAATTTTTCAATAAATTTGATGTGAAGTGGTTCTAGATAAGTTCTTTTGTCTGTGTCTAATAGAGTTAAATGAAAATAAGTGCGTAGAATGAACATATTCATTTCAGGTGTCCATCGCATACGCTTGTTTGAGACACCTGTAGCGGGTGCAAGTTCATTGTCAAAGTTGACATCTCGCACAACGCTGTCAAGTGTAGTTGTGGTTGACAAGGCAGACTTACTTGTAGTCATGTATGAGGGGCGAGTTGAAGGGATGGATGAAAATAAAGAAATGGTATCATCGCCCGTGGCATCGGCTGTAGCTTCTTCGCTGTAAGCCCGCCTGGTCAACTCACAACGACCAGCTGTAACCTGTTTTTTGGTGGGAGCCCGCTTGCTCAACTCCGCACCACCGATGGTTCGCATGCTGTGGCATCCAGCACCGGCTCCAGATGCGCCCCGGCGACCCCCGGGAAGCGGCCGCAAATTATACTCTCTTTTACTCATCTCTCCATGTTGGGTTACCCTTGCCTTGTTAGCCGCGTATGTTTTTATTCCTGTACAGTTGTACAGTACGCGTGTCCGCCCCCCACGTAAGCTAGGTGTTCAGCTTGGACGTAAGGTTGGAATTGAGGGGGCTTATTATTATTATTATTAAAACCGACGTGAAGCAACGCTTGCGTTGTGTTTCGTCGTGTGAGTGAGGTTACCGGAGGCCCAATTACCCCCCTTCCCTAGTATCCCGAATCCCCGTATCCTCCACAATCCTCAAATTCCCAATTCCCAAAAGGCCGGTAACGCACTTGGTGTTCCGAGGGTCCATTGGCGACGCCGGTTGCTTACCATCAGGTGATCCGTCTGCTCGTTTACCGGCTAATGCTATAAAAAACACATACCTACAAAATATATGTCAAAAATAGAACCTCCTTTTTTGAAGTCGGTAAAAATGCTCCTATTTCATTGTTGGGTACACAACGAGGCAACTGTTTCATTGATGAGCCTAACAGCAAGTTACGTGCCTACAAGTCGAACAAACAACGAATTCTTTGTTTTATAATTTGCTGTAGCCATTACTTTGAGAAAGTCGGGATTTTGTTTTTATTTTGCACGCTTCACATGATAAAAAAGTTCAGGTTTTTTTTTAAAGGGGGAAAATCATCGAATGACTGCTCCCGCCTGGGCGAGGCTGGAGGGAGTGTCAGACTCTTACTGACTAAAAACCACCCCGTTCCTTCTCCTGCACGTCGAGCCAGTCCCCCTCGCTCCGCATCATGGCCTGCACTAGGCCCGGACGCGAGAGGTCGCCATCACCGATCACTTCCCTGAGGGCACGGCGGTGCTCAGCCCATGCAGGGCATTCTCCCACCGTGTGTTCCACCGTGTCCTCAGGGCGGTCCTCGCAGTGAACACCCGGGCGTTTCCTCCCGCCCCATCAGACACAGGTACCTCCCGAAACTTCCATGTCCGGTGAGGACCAGCGTCAGGCGGTAGGTGAGGACGCCGTAGCGTCTCTCAAGCAACTCCTCAAAGAGGGGAGGCAAAACACAACGCAAGCGTTGTTGCACGTCAGTTTTCTGCTCGTTGGTGGTATCACTCCGGTCGAGCCGGCCCAGCAGTGCCGAAGCATGGCTCTCTCACACTTAATGTTGTTGTTTGGTTACTGGTGCCGCTGATTCCTTACCATCAGGTGATCTGTCTGCTGGATTGCCGTCCTATCTCAGTAAAAATCGATACTTATAATCATTTTCATTCCAGTCTCTCTGTGTAAATAACGACTATATTAGCTTTTTTATTGGGATAAGTCGGTATACGAGCACACGGATCACCTGATGGTAAGCAATCGACGTCCATGAACACTTGGAACACCAGAAGTCTTACAAGTGTGCTACCGGCCTTTTGGGGATTAGGAGTTTGAGGATCGTTGGGGATTCAAGGATTGGGGAGATTGGGGAACGGGAGGGTAATTGGGCCGCCGGTAACCTCACTCAAACGACGAAACACAACGCAAGCGTTGCTTCACGTCGGTTTTCTGCTCGTTGGTGGTATCACTCCGGTCGAGCCGGCCCATTCGTGCCGAAGCATGGCTCTCCCACACTTATGTTTGTAGCGGTTGATCTGGTCTGGTTGTCATTGTGTGAAATTCTTTGTTCGCGTTAGTGGATTCACACGGAGAAAATTCTAGTGGAGTGGGGGCCAGAGTTTCATAAAAAAACAGATCTTCGCTTATCCAGAACGTCGCCTTAAGAAGGACGAATTTGTTGTGATTTAAAAAAAATGCACTGACAATGTGTTGTCTATAGACGCAGATTAAGCTGACCTAATCTGTCACACCTCTTCAATACATTTTCGACTTTATTTCCTACAGTTAAGGTCGATATTCTATTAAACAGTTTATGATAGCTTGACTTGCAGTCGATTTGACTGCTTGTCCCGTCAAATTAGGATCTTTATAGATAGTATAAATATGGTCTAGTAAATAATATTAAATTTTTGGTAAATTTCACTCATAAACTATAAAAAAATAAGCTTCTAGAATAACAACCCGCCATGCACTTTATAAGAATAATTTAAATCAAGTAGGTAAGTCGTTTCATCTACAGACTAGATTATATTTTTTACCAACGCTACTCTTCCCGCGGGTGTCGTATACCCGACTAAACTACAGCACCGAATCACATCATCATCATAATCAACAGCCTATAAGTGACCACTGCTGACCAAAGGCCTCTTCTCACACGGAGAAGCTTTGAGCACTATATACCTCTAATCACCACGTTTGCTCAATGCGGGTTGGCAATTTCAAACTTATAATTAGAAATTATAAGCCCAGGTTTCCTCACGATGTTTTCCTTCACCGTTTCCCAGTGGTGTCTAGATAATCTAAGAAACTACATTTAACTCGGAACAAGTCACATTGGTACTTGCCGTTGGTAGGTTTCGAAGCCAACCACGACCATCGTTAATAGCGGAGACCGAATAGCGAAGTCATTTTTATTTAATTTCTTTTATACCACGACGCTGGCAAAATAGCACACGGCCCACCTGATGGTAAGTGGTTACCGTGGCCTATGTACGCCTGCAATACTTGGGACAAACTTATAGTAATCCCACAGATATAATAAAGTAATATTTCTATGGATAATCCTGATAATTATAAACTGCAACCTTCTGCGAGCGTTTAATTGTGGGAGAGCCATGCTTCGGCACGACTGGGCCGGCTCGACCGGAGTGATACCACGGCCGAGCAGAAAACCGACGTGAAGCAACGCTTGCGTTGTGTTTCGTCGTGTGAGTGAGGTTAACAGCCCCCCCAATCCCTGAATCCCCAACAATCCTCAAATTCCACATCCCGAAAAGGCCGGTAACGCACTTGTAACACCTCTTCCAGTTGTTCATGGGCAACGCTGATTGCTTACCATCAGGTGATCCGTCTGCTCGTTTACCGGCTTATGTCATAAAAAAAGCGTGGAGATGATGGCGATCCTTTTTTGCAGACGAGACCCATAGTCCGGTGGACCGTCAGGAGTTCGTGATGATGCTGACATGGGGTTCCTCCACGCTCGGCGATGGGCTCGTGCTCCCTCTAGTCTTGCAGGTGTACCTAAGCTACGGTGTCTGCTTACCCTCAGGCCAACCGTAAGCTTCATACATAAGTCCAAAATCAAAGCATTTACTTTTGAAACGTCAACAAATACAAAATAAATAATAATCTGTCAGTCAGTCCGTCAGTGAAGCTAGGTGAAGCTAGCTGCTCATTCCAAAATGTAGATTTGAATGGAGAAGAACGAGCAAGAAACTCCATTTGTTACTCTTTTAAAAAAAGTATGTGCTGCAATGTCTCTGATACATATTCCAATACTGTACGTATATGTGAGAACAATGCAAAGACACGCTTGACGCATTATACTAATTACTAAACATACTAAAATAAAAAAATAAAAAATAAAGAAAATATAACATGGCGCTCACATATGCATACTGATATACTCTGATCCACTGCTTAACTCCTATTAATCGTATCATTATGTTTTATTAACCGACTTCAAAAAAAGGAGGATCAAAGTATGACAGATCATAGTTTACAATACAGGTATTGTATGTATATTCGTGCGCGAGTATCACGTTATTAACTGTATCGATTGGGATGTGGATTTCAGAAAAGTACTTGTTATTTATTTATTTTTTATTTTATTTCAACTTCATACAACAAGTGTGTACAGGTGGACTTAATGCCTTGGGCATTGTCTCCCAGTCAACCTTTAAGCAGTGCAGAGATGAAAGTAGCAGGTGATTTAAACCTTTATAAATAGGCAATGTACCAGTGTAATAAATAACAAATCTCACAATCAGAATATTCAATAAACACTAAACATATAGGTATATTTGAAAACTTATACATACTTACATATAACAATAATTATGTATACAATATTAAAGTAAATATATAAATAAAAAATAATGAATATATATATAGAAATATATATGTACATTATAAAATATAATACAAAATATTAAATTAAAAGAGGTTTAGGTTTGAGATGAATCTACCAATTGTTGAAGAAGATGCTCCCGAACTTTAATCTTAAAAGCTAAGCGACTGGACGCCGTCCTGATATCCGTGGGTAGTGCATTCCACAGAATAACAGATTGTTGGAAGAACGAAGATATTTACTGTGGTTTGCACTGGTGTATTGAAAATAGGTGGATAGATAGTTAGGAGAAAAAGGGGATTCAAGAAGAGAGAATAAAGTAGTTAAAGCCCTTTGCTCCCTACGTTGGCGTATGGGTAACCACTTTAATTGCAAGCGCTGTGCAGAAACATGATCATATTTACGAAGGTTGAACACGAATCGAATGCAGTTATTCAGAAGTCTGTCTAGTTTGTTGAGGAGATCTGCATTCAGGTCGTAATAACAGACATCACCATAATTAATAATAGGGAAAATTAACGACTGATGGACAAGCGTTGCCTTCACGAAGGATGGAAGAAAGTTTTTGAGGCGATACAGAGCCCGCAACGACCCAGTAACCCTCTTACAGACACTGGTAACCTGCGGGCGTCAGCTCAAGGTATTATCAATGTGAAGGCCAAGATTCTTGACGTCGCTGGTGCATGGGATGACCGCACCGTCAAACAGAACAGGGGGAAGGGTGCTAGCATCTATTTTACTGAGGATGCGCGAGCTCGCAATTACTATGGCCTGGCACTTGCTCGGGTTCACAGCTACCCCACTTGTTATACTTCTACTTCGGGAAAAGTTTTAGTATATTAATTAAGCGTACCTCTATTTTAAAAAGAGTGGATTGAATTCGTTTTATAAACGTAATTTGTAAAAGAAGAATTATATTCGTCAATAAATGGACTATTCAACACAGAGAGAATTATTCAAATCGACCTAGTAGTTTCAGATTTTCAGAGATTGACGCGGTCATAGAAATAAACTTCAGCGTTACGATTCGATTCCTAGTTTTATAATAAGACTAGCGACCCGCCCCGGCTTCGCACGGGTGCAATGCAAAATATACCTACTACAGAATGTCCTTATACAATACGTTCACAGCCTTTTTTGTCATTAGCCAATACAAACATGATTTGCTTAGACGTTACTCTTGACAGCGCGACATATAATTGGCCATGTGAAAAACACTCAACACTCAAGTCTAATCCTGCAACGTTAAAAGTTTGACCCTGCGATTTATTAATGGTCATTGCAAAAGATATCTTTACCGGAAATTGTGGGCGTTTAAATTGGAACGGTAAATCTGATGGTATCACGGCACTATTCGTTAAATCTGAGTTAATATTAGCTGGCATTGGCAGTCCAAAATCATTGATCGATTTACTCGTCAGTAGTTGCACTACTTTGTTCAATTCAAATAATGCTTCATCAAATATTGTTGGGAATGGGTCTCTTCAATAATAGTGGACTGTATTTTAAACTGGTATATTAGAATTAAAAACGGTAAGAAAGATTGTGTTGCGTCGTCCGCGAACGATCCCAAAAGAAAGGATGGTGGCCGTGCGCCGCTTCCGCTCGCGTCGCCCTCCCCCGCGCGCCCCGCCTCTCTTCCGGGAGCGTCCGGCTGCGTTCACGCGCAGACATGCTCCCCGGGTTGAAGCGCTGGCTTCAATGAAGTGGAAGCGGGCAGATGACATTGAAGGCCCGCCGAATTGTCCCTCCTTTGATCTTCAATTCAGCGACCCTAGCGACGCCGTCGGAGCCCGGGTACGTCCGCACGACGCGACCCAGCATCCAGCAGAGAGGAGGCAACGTCTTGTCCTTTACTAGGACGAGGCTGCCCACCTTGATGTCTCCAGAAGACGTAGACCATTTAGACTTCTGCTGTAGCAGAGAGACATATTCACAGTTAAACCTTTGCCAAAAATGTTGCTTAATAAATTCCACTCTTTGAAGTCGCTCGAGACGGCTGATGTTTGCGCTGTCAGTTCCTATTTGTGGATGAGGAACGAGCGTGAGTGGTCTTCCAATTAAAAAGTGGGAAGGTGTCAGGGCACAAAGGTCATGTGGATCGGGAGAGCAAGGAGTAAGAGGACGGGAATTGAGAATTGCCTCTATTTGAGTTAGGCATGTAGCCATCTCCTCATACGTAAAATGCGTTAACTTGAGCAGTCTTTTTAGATGATGTTTAGTGGAGCGCACAGCGGCTTCAGCAACGCCGTTGAAATGGGGAGTATAGGCCGGCACGAAGTGGAATTCGATACCTTCTTGGGCCAAATTCCCTGCTACATTAGAATTCTGTAAAAAAAGGCGTAACTGATTATTCGCCCCGACGAAGGTAGTCCCATTATCGGACAATATGCTTCGCGGTTTGCCACGGCGCGCAATGAACCGCTTCAAAGCAGCCATATAAGCCTCTTTTGTGAGGTCCGTAACAAGCTCCAGGTGAACAGCCTTAACAGCCAGGCAGACAAAAATACATATGTAAGACTTGACAAGCTTACAGCCTCTTCCCTTTCGGTCAGCGATCAATATTGGGCCAGCATAGTCGACACTTGAATTTAGGAATGGAAATTCTAGATTACTCCGTGAATTTGGAAGTTGCCCCATTATTGGTTGAACATTTTGAGCCTTATGTCTAAAACATACTACACATCTTTGCACAGTTATTCTAGATAAGTTTCTACCTCCTAAAGGCCAATAATTTTGACGAATTGTTGCCAAGAGCAACTGAGGCCCAGCATGTAATAATTTTCTATGAGCGTTTTGGAATAATATCTTGGTTAGATGATGTTTACTGCACAGAAGTATAGGATGCTTCACGTCATATTCATAAGGAGAATTGTCCAACCTACCCCCAACACGAATAATGTCGTCAGAGTCTATGAAAGGTGACAAGGATAAAAGACGATTTTTGTGAGGCAATGATTTGCCTGCTTTTAAAATAATATATTCATCTGAGAATATTTCAGATTGTGCATTACGTAAGATGCATTTTAGTGAGGACTGAATTTCTTTATTATGCAGAAACCCTACTAATTTATTATCTTTATTTTTTAAATTGTGAATGTACCTTTTAATGTAAGCCACATTTCTGAGCAAATGGTTAAAATCAGAATATTTATGAATCAATTGTTGTATTATTGTTTGATTCTGAATGTGGTCATTACTAGCCTGAGTTACATGACATTTGAGCTCGGGTAAGTCCTGTTTTACAATGTCATTGGGTAATTTCGGCCACAGGCATTCCTCTTTTAACAAGAATGAAGGGCCTGTCCACCATAGACTAGAGTCGCTGATATGATCAGCCTTCACCCCTCGAGAAACTAAATCCGCGGGATTTAGTTTCTCGTTTTGGTCATATTGTAAATCATCTGAAACTAATTCTCGCCGTTGCCGAATCAGAATATCACTGGCCATATTTTCTCGAAATGTATTCCATAGACTAACAGAATCAGTTACTTGACAAAACGCAACTATGATGGCAAATAAATATCTTAATGATGTAGCGGAACTGCAAATAGCTGCTTCTGATAATGTATTTTCCCAGTGAGAATCGTCTTCCAAGAGTCCCATAGCTTTACATGCCATTTGATAAGTATTGTAAATAACACCTTGTACAGTTCTCAGGTGTGCAAAGGATGTCGGGCCTTTTACAACATGGAGTAACATTCTCTTGATATTTTCCTCGCTAGAGACCTCCGTTAAACGCGTGCGATCGCTGCAAATCATAAAGTGCTATAAGGCGAAGCGCGGCCATCGACGCGCTATTTATAGGCACGCGCCGCCCGGCGCAAACAACTACGACCCTGCATTTTAAATTTGTAATATCTTCGGTAATATTCACTTAAATTACATGCTATAAAAAGCATATTGATCTATAATAAATGCACAATTTATTTAAGGTACTTAATTGGATAAGGATTAATGCTGTATTGTTTAAAATCACTTCGAAAATAACCATTTTTTAGTAAAGAATAAAAATGGTTGTTATCTATCGCGGACTTTTTTGTTGAACTTTTTAAGGTGAACAATACTGTAGTACATTATTTTGGTCTATCTCGTAGGGTTCAGCCAGCGTTTGCAATATAAGCGCAAAAAAACGTGCTTATTTACGACATCACATTAGAAACCTTTAAATTTATCAGTGTTTCTCTACTATATTATGCATTTATTACACATACAAACCTTCCTTAAGAATCACTCTATCTATTAAAAAAAACCGCATCAAAATCCGTTGCGTAGTTTTAAAGATCTAAGCATACATACGGACATACAGCGAAAGCGACTTTGTTTTATACTATGTATTGATTGATATATACATATTGCACCCGTGCAAAGCCGGGGGGTGGGTGGCTAGTTAAAAATAATATTTAATGTACAGTTTTCACTTTCCTACGATTTTATTATAAGTAGGTATGTATAAATAAATGCGAAAAATTGTCTGTATGTTAGTTAGTCAATCACATCAAAACGGCTGAAGCGATCGGGATGACATTTAGATTATGATCTGGGAATAACACATTTAAACTGTCAAACACCGCGAGGACACCGGTGACCGCAACCTATTGTCACGGTAATATTATCATACGTGCTCTTGTTCTTTAATAGTACCTATCTATAACTAGCTTCTGCCCGCGACTTCGTACGCGTAATCCCATTTTTCTCGTCCCCGTTCGTGATTTTCGGTAAAAAGTAAAAAAAAAGTATTGGTTAAAAAGTATCCTAGATGTCCGTCTCCTGGCTCTAAGCTACGTCCCTACCAATTTTCAGCCAAATCTATTCTGCCGTTCTTGAGGTATAAGTGGTGTAATTAAACTGTCAAACACCAAGCGGTCACCGGTGACCGCAACCTATTATTCTATAATTGTGTCTATAATGACGTTACTCGACGAGCTAACACGACTTTCTTTTATATATATATAGATGACGGTACTCAAAACTTCAAAAGCGTTAAGTAGGCTACTTTTATTCCACGAGAACGCGGGAGAAGTCACTGGTTACTCTACTAGCTAGTCTAAAATAATTGTCTAAGCTGACACGGGTTGCTTACCATAAAAAAAACCGCATCAAAATCCGTTGCGTAGTTTTAAAGATCTAAGCATACATACGGACATACAGCGAAAGCGACTTTGTTTTATACTATGTATTGATTGATATATACATATTGCACCCGTGCAAAGCCGGGGGGTGGGTGGCTAGTTAAAAATAATATTTAATGTACAGTTTTCACTTTCCTACGATTTTATTATAAGTAGGTATGTATAAATAAATGCGAAAAATTGTCTGTATGTTAGTTAGTCAATCACATCAAAACGGCTGAAGCGATCGGGATGACATTTAGATTATGATCTGGGAATAACACATTTAAACTGTCAAACACCGCGAGGACACCGGTGACCGCAACCTATTGTCACGGTAATATTATCATACGTGCTCTTGTTCTTTAATAGTACCTATCTATAACTAGCTTCTGCCCGCGACTTCGTACGCGTAATCCCATTTTTCTCGTCCCCGTTCGTGATTTTCGGTAAAAAGTAAAAAAAAAGTATTGGTTAAAAAGTATCCTAGATGTCCGTCTCCTGGCTCTAAGCTACGTCCCTACCAATTTTCAGCCAAATCTATTCTGCCGTTCTTGAGGTATAAGTGGTGTAATTAAACTGTCAAACACCAAGCGGTCACCGGTGACCGCAACCTATTATTCTATAATTGTGTCTATAATGACGTTACTCGACGAGCTAACACGACTTTCTTTTATATATATATAGATGACGGTACTCAAAACTTCAAAAGCGTTAAGTAGGCTACTTTTATTCCACGAGAACGCGGGAGAAGTCACTGGTTACTCTACTAGCTAGTCTAAAATAATTGTCTAAGCTGACACGGGTTGCTTACCATCAGGTGATCTGTCTGCTCGAATGCCGTTGGTTTATTGCAATCTGAATGTCAAAAACAAACTTTATTCGATTTGCTGCATAATATATAAGCGCTCAGCTCTCTTCTGAGTAGTTCCATATTGAGTGTAAGTTGTGCAATAGGCTACTCGCCAACTAGTCAAATTCAATACTTTTTTCGAACTGTCTAAAATTTGTACGAGATTGTGTGTGATTGTGACGTCACGTTTTTTAGCGTCAACCAGCATAGGTACGTATATCTTAACCGTCTGCAGCTGACGTGTAGTCCCACAGACACCGCGAAATACAAAATCACGTGTTATACCGTCATTTTTCAAATACGAGCATCACTGCTGCGAGTACCTTACTGTATAGTGCTCGCTATACTTTAATTCTACAAAAATATTTGCTGTTGAAATGGTGTCTGGTATAATATACACCTCAGTTGAATTGTAACAATTTAACCACGTCAGTTGCAGAGGGTTAAAAAAATGCTGGAAAAATATTAAAATTAAATTTGTCATAAAATCAAGTAATGAAAGTGTGATTATTTTTTAATATTTTATTGTAAATATTGGACGGTCGATACCTAACCGTTGGTAAGTTTCACACCGGATTTGAAAGACAAAGAATTCTTGAGATGTTCCTTAATATAATATTATTAGAAAACTTAAAACTGTCATATAGGGAGTGTCAGACTCTTACTGACTAAAAACCACCCCGTTCCTACTCCTGCACATCGAGCCGGAGCCTCGGCAACCCGTTAGGTTCTCCGCGACAGCCTAATGTATTCGACTGCACGGTTGGTGCGGTGGCTGGGCAACTGGCTGCCGCGCAACGTGTCGCGCATTCGATTCCCGCACGGAACAAAACTTTCTGTGATCCACAAATAGTTGTTTCGGGTCCGGATGTCATGTGTATGTGAACTTGTATGTTTGTAAACGCACCCACGACACAGGAGACAATCCTAATGTGGGGCAACGTTTTAAATAAAAAAAATTATGTGTCCAATACACAAATAAATTGTTTCAGAATATACAGCGACAATATGACGGCAGCGACGGCCATAGTTCTACTCCTGCTCCCAATATTAACGCTGGCTAATATAGAGATTGACGTCACAGCCTCAGACGAAGCGGGGCAACAGAACATCATCGCTATAGGAACCAATGAAGCGATAATAAGTGACCTTGAAGTCCAAACATTTCAACTGACCGACGAAAATTTGAAAAACGCAGTCAAAAATCATTTTGGAGTCAAACCGGACGATGTGTTCGTCAAAAGTCCGACGCCTTGGGGAGATTTATACGTCCTTAACGAATGGGAACAGGTATCGAGAATCCTAAGGCCGGTTGAATCAAAGGTATTGTCAGTCGACTTCAAACCGTTCCTGGTATTCAGTCAGTCTTTCAACAATACGAGTACCAAGCCAGCGGTCTTCAAAGCTCACATTTCGCAAAACGTCGAAGATACTGTCTCTTCTGTTTGGGAGAAGTATTGCGAAATATCGGCGTCGAAAGACATTAAATACGGTTTCGATATTAAAGCTATGGGGGTTTCTGGAAATGCGGCTTTTTCTTATAACTCGAAATGGGGGGAATCTGTTTTAAAATTTGAAAGAGTTACAGTTGGTTCACAAACTGGGTTAGATATATATTTGAACGCAGGTCAAAGTGTGATCGCCGACCTTGTAGCGACACGAGGAATCATGAAGATCCAAGTTAACTATGTAGCCAGTTTAACTGGAACCGTGGCGGTGAATTACGCTGATACGTTCAAGGGTCATCATTTCTGGTCGGTGGATGTCAATAGGGTGTTGCAAGCCGGGGGTCTAAATAGAACGGTTTGGTCGACTGAACTCATAGAGTTTGCTTTCTATGTCAAGTCCCGCGTTGACCTCCGGGATGTGGATACTAATGAGACGCTTATGACTCTCTCTCTGAATGTATTTTGATCGTGGATAAAGCACTTCAAGATATCCACCTATCTTCAATGGATGTTTAACTTTATAGCGATGTATTAAGGTCTATTTTAATGTGACACATTGTGGCAGGTTGATGTGCTGTATTATATTCTTGATTTTTTTTTGTTTTATATCTAAAAAATATTATCTTGTAAAAATGAAATATATATTATTTTATTTTTATTCGTTTTTATTACTTATTTAACTTAATTAATCTATATACAAATACAATATATGGGTACAACAACATCATCACATCATATACCACTGTACAATGTAACACCCACTTTTCACTATTTATGTTACGAGTCTCATGTAATAGGGGGTGAGCCTATTGTCATATACCGGGCACAATTCCAGGTTCCGTGCTACTACTGAGAATAATTTTAAAAACTCAGTAATACATTGCCCGACCCGGGAATCGAACCCGAGACCCTTTGCCCGGCAGTTGCACTGGCGACCATTCGGCCAACGACGCAATCTTTGGGTACAGTATAATGTTAATACTAAACTGAAGTTTTGAAAAACGTAATAAGAATAATATTTTTAAAATCACTTATACTGAATACTGAAACGTTAATCAATTTTAAGTCGTGCTCAAATATCGCCATCTCTGTCATATCACAAAGAATTTGTAGAGATAGAACTATACTAAAGCACGACTTAAAATTGAGTAGCGTTTCAGTATTCCGACATTTAAAGTGATTTTAGTAATATAAAACTAGTATGTATAGTCAGAATTTTAATTAGATTCCAGATTTGACAATAGCTACTGTCATTTTGTGAAATAATGATACCACATATAATAGTGTAGTGATGAACACAAAAATCGAAAAACAATCAGTGTGTGTGTTTTATAATAAATGTTACAGAAAGTGACAGGATAGCGACAGCGATGACGGCGACAATTTATAAAATAACTTGTTACCATAATACATCTATCTGTTTTATTTGTCATGTCCCTTCATGATTACATTTCTTTATTTATTTCACACACAATTGTAAAAGAAAAGTCTCAGATCGTTAATTAATCGTCAAAACTAAATTATCGGATCAGAAATATTTAATTTCCTGATATACTTAGTTTACGGGAGTAAAATTATAAACGAGAAGGATCGATCCAGATTTATTGCATTTCCATATCGAATAATTTCGCAACGTCACTATTTAGTACTTGTCATAACGTTGCAACACTGAAATTGTCAAATCTGGAATCGAATTAAAATTCAGAGTATAGATACCGTTCATATTATTAACACATTTGTCTGAACCTAAAGGTACTCTCTCACCGGGAGCATTCACGTGTAATCTAACATTATAGATTCGACTTTAAGCATTACATAGCACGATGTCAGACATTGATGTCACAAGTTGTATCAATATATTCCACACTAGCGGCCCGTCCCGGCTTCGCACGGGGGGACTTAAGATTTTTTACATAGTTTTACGTTTTATTAACCGATTGAACAATTCAAAAGTTATCTAGAGCAAACTTTTATAAGGATTGAACCATTCATTAAAACGATTGTTATGGGTAAACTATAAAAGGTAGACATATGCTCTCGCGGACTTTTTTAAAAATAATGTTAAGATGAACAATTCATCTATAGAGCATTTTTGTATAACTTTAACTATATGCTCAGCGCACGCCACGGAAGGCCTCAGAAACGATACTTTTCCCCCGTTTTTAAAACATTTTTGGTTACTGCTCCACAACTATAGGACCTAGC